AGTTTTTTTGGGAGTGTACCTGGTAACCCTATATTTCGGTGCTTGCCTCCCAGTGGTAGGTAGGGTTGCTATGTGTCTGGTATTGAACCGGACAGCCTGGTATTTGGGCCTTCCATCCAGTAAAAAAAAAAAAATTCAGAAAATACCAGACATTTTAGATAGTATTTTCTGGTTTTCCTGAGGCCCGGCTCGGGCGCCCGATGGACGGCCTCTTGGAACACGCTGGGGAGGACGGAGGGGGGAGCAGCCCGGGAATGAAAGGGGCCACGACTGCATTTCGGCCCTGGTCCAACAACTTTTCCAGCTCTTTGTGTAGACTCCTATGTCAGGACGGATACTATCAATTGACTTTGATTCTCATCTGCTTCATTTTAACTACCCCATCTTCAGATACTTAGGGTACGTCTACACTAGCCCCCTAGTTCGAACTGCAGGCATTCGAACTTGCAAACGAAGCCCGGGATTTAAATATCCCAGGCTTTATTTGCATGTTCCCATCCGGCCGCCATTTTTAAATGCCACTAGTCCAGACTTACCGCCTGCGGCTACACACGGCAGATAGACGGTAATTCAAACTAAGTTCTTAGTTCGAATTACCTGCTACACCTCATTCCAGGAGGAGGATGAGGGGAGGGCCCTGAGCCTTGGCAGCTGGATCCAGTCAAGCCAGGGGCCACATTCGGCCCCTAGGCCTGAGGTTCCCCACTCAAACATTATGTTTAACCCGTTAGCCACTTAAACGGATTTTACATCCCTACTTGATGGGCAATTCTCCTGACAGCACCCAAGGAGGACAGGAAAGTAATTCCCTCCCTTTTAACTGCGTTGGTTCTGCAGAGTAAAAAGCAGCAAAGCCATATTGTTTGTTACTAAAATGGGAAGCCAGAACAGATCGGCTGAACCAGAAGGTGTGATTTTTATACAATTACTTCTTAAGGCCTTCTCATGCAAGTCCCCCCAATAGGGAGCATGCAGTGCGTATAGCCAAACTTGCAGTCCCAGGAAAAACAGAGATTCAGATGCAGGAGAAAAATAAGAAAAAACAAGATTAGAAAATGTGATTTCGACCACATCATAATAGGGTGTAAATCTGCAAAGCTGCATTGATTTCAGTGGCACTACCATCAACTTATACCAACTTTGGAGCCGGTCTTTTGCCAAATATAATGCAATCCCTGATGCGTGAGGTATGGCTAAATACCACCCCCACAATTGAAACGTGGCATTACAGGCAAGTGACTATTGTCAAGATGTTTTTAAGCCCCCATTGAACAGGGCTACTATGAACGAGCCAAAAATAATAGCCTGCAGTCAGAAACGGTGTTCAAACAATATTGCAGAAAGCACTATCGGTATACAAGGAATGTTGCCTTTAAATTTTATTATTAATATATGCAGTTATTTAGTCACATGAATAATGAACCTTGCACACAGGGCTTTTTCCCATGTGGTCGCACTTGATCACTGCTTCTCGCTCGACAGCAGACGATAAACCGGCCCCGGTGGAGCACGAGGTGTAAAATGCAAGTTTCGCGTGTTAGATGAACACCATTTGACGGCTCATGTTATTTGAAATAATAAGTGAATTCTACAACCAGATTAGGCCATGTCAAAGCTGTCACCCGAATGTCCCCAGGGATACACATGGCTTGGCTGTTGCGGTCTGTGCCTTCGTCAGAAAGCACCCTGCTGACAAGATGATGAATGGAAGATATCATTGCCAATTAATGATTTGTACACCGCAGGGATTTCGACTGTCCCATCTGCCTGAGCAGGGGAGCGACATTGGCTTCACCTCTGATAAAAGAACGTAGCCAGCTATTGTCCAGACAAGATGTTGTGGCCCAGAGAACACGCTCTTTGGAGGGAAAACTCCAAGAAACAAATTCAGCATCTTCCATGCTGGAAACACACCGGGATCTCCCCAAAACTACATAGTACAGCTGCAAAATATGCTGCCTAGCTCAAGCCTAAATTAAAGCTTGCAGGTAGGGAGGGGGATTTTAAGTGCCTAAGGCCCAGATTCTCAGAGATATTTAAGAACTCTTGAATTCAACAAGAATTGAGCCAATATCTTCAAAGCTATTTGGGGCCCTAATGCCAGTGACGTGCAAGGGAAATTAGAGTTTAGTACAACACCCAAGTGTTGTGCGGCTTTAATGCGGAGGTGGGCAATCATTTTTGCAGAGGGGAGGCACTTCCTGAATTGTGGGTACTGGTCATGGGCCTGCTCCACCTCTGGGAAAGGGCGGGACCTCAGGAGGAAGGGGCGGGGCCTCAGGAGGAAGGGGCGGGGCCCTCTAGTTGCTGCACTCCCCTGATAGGGAGAAGAGACTTGCTGTGCCTTCCTGCCTCCAGGCCAATCGAGACCTGGGGGCAGGGGAATGCGTGAAGTCATTGACCCAGGGGCGGGGGCAGGACAGGGCAGCCATGGGCCAGATCAAACAGCTTGGTGGCCCACGGGCTGTATCATGCCCACCCCTGCTTTAGCGAAAGCAGAATCACAGCTCCATAGTGACACAGTTGCATTGGCATAAAAGTGCGCATACTGGCACAGCTCTTTTCCTGCGGGAAGGGGCATTACAGCAGTAATACTGGTACGCTGCTGCCCCTGTGCCCACACCAGAGGTGACACTGGACTCTAGCTTCCCTGTGGCCTGGGCCAGCTTTTCCAAGGCCAGGCCCATGGTTTTGGTTTATTTCAAGTCGGCAGCGGTTCATCTGGCTAATCTTCATGGCGACTGCTGACAGCAGCTCGGGGCGACTGAAGAGGTGATAGCCACTCCATGCTCGCTATTTGGGGGACACCTTATTTTTTGCAGACAGGCAGGTCTCTGCCCGGGTGTCTGGCTACCTGCCTTGGCCTGCAGCAAGCAAGATTTCCTCCATTTTGGCTGAGGCTGTTTGGTTGCTCTTGTGCCATCTCGCCCCTACATGGAGAATTCATTGCCAGGGCAAGGGAGGAAGAAACAGCCTCGGTCTGTCGAGATCTGTGGTATGTTCGAGGAGAGGAGCCTCCTCAGGAAAGCAGCGTTTCTTTAGAAGGAAGGACCTCTCCCGCAAAAATCAACTTCTCTTCCTCCTAGGAGACTCACCAAAGGGGACTCCGTTACCTCTGAGTTTCCACCCAAAGACTGAAACGGAGCAGCTGCATGCTCAGGACTCTGCTTTGACACGTACCCACTGAGAACTCACTTAGTCTCTTTACGCATGACAAACTCACACCCGTTTCAAGCAGGAGGAAAGCAAATTCAACCTAGGCTGTCCACTTCAAGGAAAACCACACAACCCATCAACAGACCCTTAACCAGCAACTCAAAAGCCAGAACAAGTGTCTTCAAATGACGAGGTAGTTTAAGCATTCACATTACAATCTACAAATAATAATGCAACAAAATTGACTACAGGTTGAACCTCTATAGTCCAGAGCGCTCTGGCCCAGAAACATCCATGGTCTGGCGTGATGCTAGTGAGCTAGATGTCCACTTTCTACAGGTGTGGCCAAGTTTCCCGCAGTCCCATAAAGTTTGTTTACAAGCACCAGTCCTGGCTCTCAGTGTTCTGTGTTGTTATTTAGCTCTAATTTACTCTTAAATGTCTTCTAAGAGCCCAGCAAGTAGTGGAAGTGTTGGGAATGCTGCTAGACAATATCGACCTCCCACGGTCTGGAAAATTCTCTGATTCGAAACCAGTCAGGTCCCAAGAGTGCCGGACGAGAGAGGTTCAACCCGTAGTTAGCACAAATTGCACTGAAATGGCCTTTTTGCTGTGTTATCACTGAATAGTGTTCTAATAAACCCCCTAATATACACTTAAAATTGTGAAAATTTTAAAAAAACCAAGCATATTATACTGCAATGTTCCAGCAAATTCTAAATTCTTGTTACATCAGGTTTCTTTAGAAGTCCTCTTTTTGATTCTTAGCCACCATTAAACATTCGTGACTCTTGTCTAAGTCCCACGACCCTGAAATGTGCTTATGCTCCCAGTGAAAACAGTGGGCTGCTCACAAGTGCAAAGTTATACACATGGGGAACTTTTTTCAAGAGCGGAGACTAAGCTATTACTTTAACGTTAGGAAGTTGAGCCCCGCCGTAGCAATGCAACTTCAAGTCAAGGCAGACAATTCCCATTATAGGAAACCCCTTTTTTTTTGCTTTTTACAGAGAACTAAATAGAAAGAGAGGCATTAGTATTAATTTACCTATAACAAATTATATCTTCATTTTGAAAACAAACTAACACTTTTACGCAATAGTCCTGAAGAGAGAAAGCAAACTTTTAAACGCTTAAACATCTGAAAATGCCCAAGTTCAAATTATATATGACAGGCGCACACACACACACACACTCATATACACACACACACACACACACACTCATATATACACACACACACACACACACCATTCTAATACATAATAATTTACCATATTCTGATCTCTCGTTCACATGACAGCTCTAATACATAATAATTTACCATATTCTCGTTCACATGACAGTATGTTACACCATGGGACAAGGACCACTAGACCAGAATCTCAAAACTTGCACCATTCTGCTAGAGGAAAGAGTCCTTTAAGTGGGAGTGAATTTAAAGCAGTGTTTCTTTAATTGTGTTCTGAGACACACCAGCGTGTGCCGTGGAGAACAGAATTCAAAATGGCCATCCTTAAAGGGGCAGGTGGCCTTTTTTTCCTCTGGTCAATAACTTTTCCCTGACCTCCTCCCCTTCCCCCCCCCCCACCCAAAAAATCCTTGGTGTTCCTCATTAAAAAAAATTATTGTTTGGTGTTCCTCGGTCTTAAAAAGTTTAAGAAACACTGATTTAAGGCCTTCTTTCTACTAGCAGAGCTGTGGAAAGAGACTTTCATGTCAGTGAGAACCAGTTCCCTTGGTTTCTGTGAGACTATTTGTAGCATGAGTGAGTCTACCCGAATACAGCCCAAGATGCGTGTTCTGCGAAACCACAGAGCCAAGTTTCCCTTGCAAATTCTTACCTTGACAGGTGTTGTTCTTCTCCTCGTACCCGGCTTTACACAGGCATTTCCCAATGGGCACCAGCCATTCCCCCTCGGCACTGCAGTGCATCTTCGGAGGTTCATCGGTCACCGAGTGGTTCACACATACGCCCGACACTTCCAGTAGTTGGGAGGAATCTGCCCCCGTGATGGTGTCCGGAAAGAGGGCCAGGTTACGGATAACGGAAGGGCACTTTTTGTAATACACGCGCACAGAAACCAGGGCGATGCAGGCACCTACGTCCTGGAAAGCCAAGTAAAATCCCTTTTTGGTCAGAGGCCCCACATCTCTGACCTCCGTGTTCAGCTTCATGACTCGGTCTCCAAGATCTAACTCAGTGAAGCTCTCATCGGCTGCAATGGTATCAATCTTGACGTACTGGTTTTCTTTGATGTTCCTCCCGTCTTCATCATCTGATTCAAAGTAATACACGTTGAAAGTCTCTTTGCAAGTCCCGAGTCCTCCCGGGAGACTGTTACAGTCCCTCAAGGTGAACTTGAGTTCAATGAAGATCCGCGAGGCTCCTTCGTTGGAGATCCAGCTCGTCAGGAGCCAGTTGTTCTGATTCTGTTCCATGACTTTGCACACTTGGTAGGTGTGTATCGGAGCGTAATTTTCATCCACCTCACCAATTTCTTCCCACTGGCAAAAAGAGAGAAGATTACGTCACCACACAACCAGAGCAAACAAGCCACAAATCCCTCAAATCTCGACCTTCTCACAAGCAAATTGTGCTCCTGGAAGAAATGAGAGTGTTAAAACAAATGTGATTTCCATACTCTAGGCCTGACCCAATGCCCCACAATGTCAGAGGAAAGATTTCCACTTCTGAATAAGGCCTTTTCGTCAGAAACTGGGAAAGAACTCTTTTGTTATGGCTAAGTTTGTTAATTATTGGTTTCTTGAGCACCAGAATGAAAAGAGATGCAGTATTTAGAAATCACAGCAACACTAAGCAGCACACAGGAGGAAAGCAGATTTCTCAGAACCATTCTTCTCCTCCTTGCAGGTGGGCAGAGATAGACTTGGAATAGGTAGAATGTGGCTCCACCCCCTGAAGTCAGAGCAAAAAAGGAAGCCATCTGCTGTCAAAATAAACCCATAACAGATGACTTCCCTGAGAGCAAAACAGGATTATTTGTGACCCACTGGACAATTCCAAGGATTGTGCTCTACACGTTGCTTCTCATACAGGATACTACAGGCTGAACCTCCCTAGTCCGGCACTCTGTAGTCCAGCAACCTCCGTGATCTGGCATGATTTTAGTCAGATGTCCACTTATAGGTGTGGCAAGTTTCCCACAGTGCCATAAAGTTTGTTTACAGCCACCAGCCCTGGCGCTCAGTGTTCTGGGCCGTTAGTTAACTCTAATTTACCTCTTGTAAGAGCCCAGCAAGCAATGGCAGTGTTGGCAATGCTGCTAGACAACATTGACCTCCCGCAGTCCAGCAAATTCTCTGGCTCAGCACCGATGATGTCCCGAGGGTGCTGAACCAGAGAGGTTCAACCTGTGGATGTAGTCACCACCAAGCCAATAATGAGGACGGTCTAGCACCATTGCCGATTTCAAATTATTTTTAACCGCATCACTTTGAAGACACGTTTGTCAACTGCACAGCTGCAAGCAGCCCCGAGATCTCACCTAGGATAGCACTCCACAGTGCGGAAGCCTTCTCGCCAGCAGCCGCGCACGCTCTGCTTTTCACAACTCAAGTGTCACATTTACAGACGCGCTCAACCCACCAAGTGACACAATGCGGCAGATGGGGGCCTTGAGAGAACTAATGAGGTTTTCAGCGCTGTTCATTTCTCCGGCTTTGGGTCTGCTCCCCAGGAAGGATCTAATTCCCAAGATCTCTTTCAGCTGTTCCCAGACTTGGCCAGTTCGGATGTTTGCTCCTAATTACACTGGCCCAAGCAGCACTGTGAGAAATCAAGGTGCACAGAGCACAAGGTGAACACAAGGCAGACCCTGGGTACGAAGTAAGAGCCACAGCCCGGGTTGAATACAAAGGCCTGTTCATAGCAATATCGTCTGAAGCCTTCAGCCTCAGGGTATCACCTCAGGACATGAGTGCTGCAGAGATGACAGAAAAGACCCTCAAGTTAATAGCACTCGCCTGACTTTCCCATGACATTTTTTACATACATTTGAAAGGAAAGAGAAGAAATAACTGGCAGGAACACACTATGGGCTGCTGAGAGGGGAAGAGCTGCAGCTAGCAGAGTCCTTTGTCCCCTCCTCCCACCACTGCCTGACTGGGCAGGGCTACAGCACGGTCCCGTGGTGCGAGGACAGCAGGTGTGGCCGGATCCAGGCAGCTAGTGCGCATCCAGGGAGATGAAAGTCAGGGTGGGTGATGGCAGCGAAGCCAAAGCAGACTGAGCGGCTGCACTTCTCAGCCCAGCCCACCGAGGGCCCCGTGTTTTCAGGGACCCCACACTTCAGGGGATGCAGAAGCACAAGGCCAAGGATGGCCCGGGGGATGGGGAGAGGGCCTGGCGCCAGCGGCAGGGGTCGGACACGTCTCTGCACTCAGTGGCAGTGGCAGTGGCGGGAAGCGGAGTGGCCTGGGCCCAGCCCACTCTGATCCCAGCATCGCTCAGGGGAGGGGCCTTGGAAGGGAGAGACAGAGGAGCAAGGGCAGGAAGAGGTGGGGGTGGGCTTTGGAGCAGGGGCAAGAAAAGGTCTCTCTCCTCTTGTTCGGCTCTCTATCCCTCCCCTCCCCTCCCGACCCCACTTCCCTTCCTACAGGCCGACTTTCTTCCCCAGCACTTGGGCAATTGTTTCGGGTTGCACCGTGTGTCAGAACCCCCCGGAGAGGACAGGCTGGGACACTGGCCATGAATGAAGGGCTTGCTTCCCCCTCGCTGGCACATGGCGCTGCAAACCGGGGACCCTTCCCCGGGGAGGGCGTAGCTGTCACGCCACACCCAGACTCAGGCGTACAGGGCTAGCGCCAGCCCCTTCTCTCGCTCTGAGCAGCCCGCCCATCCCTGGCAACGCCTGTCACGCGTGAGCCAAGCCAGGTTTTAGGGCTGCAGGAGCTGCCAAGGGATGGCTTTGTGAAGACACTGCTCACTAAAATCGGGGAGGCCGTGCGGCCTAGGGCCGTGGTTCTCAAAGTGTGGTCCGTGGCGACCATCCTCCAAGTGAGCCGCAGGCTTGGAGCTTGCACCCCCTGCCAGCTTCTCACTGCAGGGGAGGAAGCCCCGCATGCCGGATCTGGCTCACTGCCACTCCCCTCCCCCCACCCCGAAGGCTTTCCCCTTTACTCCCATTGGCCAGAATCGCAGCCAATGGGAGCAGCAGAGAGCAGTGCCGGAGGATCGTGCTTGAGAGCGGCAGGAGACACGGGGCCAGGTAAGTGCCTCCTATCCCCAGATCCCCACACCTCCATCCCCCTCACACACGCCTCCCTGCTGAGACCCCCACCCCACCCCTGCAACCCTCCCACCCAGAACCCCAACCCCCACCTCACTCCTGCACCCAACCTCCCAGCCAGATCCCTCACCCTCAGCCCACTCTGCACCCTACCACCCAGCCAGACCCCACACCGCTCTCCTGGACCCATTTTGCCATGATGGGTGGTTGGCTGGTGGTCCACGGAAAGGTCTACATTGAGCGGGGTGGGCAGCAGGCTAAGAAGTTTGAGAACCACCGGTGTAGGGGCTAGTGCACTGTGACTTAAGATGACCCCATTCTATTCATAGCTCTTCTAGTGACCATGGCTAAGCCTTGATGCCCATATCCCAGAGGTTCAATAGTTCTTTGAGGGCTCCCAGTGAAAAGGGGCATCTAAGAACATGGCCTTTGACTTCAGTGGACATGTGGTAGAGGCCCAAACTTGATCTTTGGAAAACATGTGACCCTTCTATCATTTGCTCCATGTCCAAGTAATTAACTCCACGGGAGTTGATCATTGCGCCCTGTGACAATGCCTATCAATTCCTTTCCTTGAAGGAGTGTTCAAACTGTGCAGCACGATGTTGCTGCTAGTCTGCCAGCACAAGACAAGTGGTTAGAACCTCCCCGGTGGCGAAAATTAAGCTGATTTTTATAAACCAAATCAAGGGTTGGCGGCTAGGGGGAACACACAGAACTAGACGGCTCATTTGCTTAGATACAAGCATGGAATCCAGTGATGTTCCCCCATTTCCTCCAAGGGCAAAAAACGTCCAGGAGAGCAGATACCCGCAGACGTAGGTTCATTGAGCCGGTTTCCGACTTCAGGGGCAGCAAAATACCTGGCACGCAACACCTTTGCTGGCAGTCGGGACATGCCAATTTATAGCCTGGGAGATGAGATCAGAATCTCTTCCCATCCATCCCACCGGCCATCAAAAAATAAAGCTGTCATCAGAGAGGCCAAGGAAAAGGAGTGCTAATGAATTAAGGCTGCTTATCTCTGTACCTCCAGAAGGGAAAAGCATAGAGATGCTATCAAGGCCCTTCCACTTTTCACAATACGCTCCATTCTACCACTTAATCTGATCTTCTTTGTTCTGATCTTCATGCAGGAGAGCATGCTTTATTTCGCCTGTTTAAGTGAGCCTTTTTTGGTTTTGTTTTTTTGTAACTCTCAAGACTGTCATCATGTTGTTGCTATTCTGACTCTTACAAGCATCCCTGGAAAGGCATCAGGAGCGAATCATCATCTTTTCAGCCCAATCTGGGTGCTTGCAAGCAATATTTGAGACGTTACAGGAAGGACTTCTAACAGCAAAGGAATAAAAACAAACTAGAAGCCCTAGCTGGTAAAATACCCGCCTTAACGGTTCATGAAAAAGAAAAAAAAACTTAGCACGTGACTGTGGCAACTTCTAGCTGAACGCATCTGCATGAAAAAATTAAGTACAGCAGAAGTGAAAAATTGCATGCCACATTTTAATGCCTCTCTGCAGTGCACATGTTTAGGAGAGAAATCAGGGCTCTCGGCAGGATTACAACAAAAACGCAACATTCCTTTGGTGCTAAATGTTTCTTCTAAGTCTTTAATAGCCTTACAAAGAAAAACACAAACTCGTTTCAATGGCCTCATGGTAAATCATTTAGAGAAGCCCCATTTCAGGAAGAAAAATGTTCAGGAAGAAGTTGGAGTTGCATTTTCTTCCGGCAATTTGACGGCATTCTGGTCACACAGTCAGTCGAGGAAAAGGCCAAAGATACCAGGACTCAAAGTAAAAAATCCACACCCAAGAGGTCATGTTCAAGTCCTAAATTTCAAGTACATTTCTCAGAGGTGCAATGAGGAATAAGCCATCTGCTAGTCCATATCTCTTTCCAGCAGTGTCATTTCAGAAGTCGCTGCTTCATGATGTGCTGCTATGGGTTGTTACTTTTGGGGATTTTTTTAATTTACAGAGTGAGGAAAGGGTTCCAAATTTCAGCGGCATCAAGGAAAGCAGCATGAGAAATGTAAGATACTGCTTCCTTAATTCTTCATTCAAAACTACCACCAGGCATACGGCATGACTCCGATATTGCCGGCAGGTGATAAATGAGAAGCTAAAATAAGAACCTGAAAACATGTCCTCACTTATGAGGGAGGGCTGACACACCACATCAAGGACAAAAAGATGGAGTAGGGGATCTCCAACTTTTTCAGCATGTGGAGCACCTCCCAGTAGACACTTCTCC